GAGGTATGAGAAGAGCGCCTTGGACTTTGTACTAGAAGTGCAGCTAATAACAGTTCGTATTTTTGGCGTTTCTCGGGTTTCTTTATGTTGCAAACATTCCTGAGCGTTTTGTAGTGGCAGTACTCAATATCAACTCGCGTAATTCTGAAACGATCCTATAGTTTACGCCTAAATTTCATCATTGAATTCAATTCGTGATCGATCCGTGGATAGCCTTAGGAGAAGGGTCTTCTTTTGGAGAAGAGGATGACCTGCTCAATGAGTAACATCAGCTTGGAGTACAGGTGATTTCATGCTTCGTCAACATTGAGGTGTTCAGGGATACTCCAATCGACAATGTTTGCGGCCGTTTTCAGACGAAGTGTATCGGCACACAAGAAGTTCCGACGGTAGGCAAGTTGGCTGTGAACAGCGAAGCGACGTGACCACTGGAATGAGACAGTACAGTGCTCACTGCTGCCAATAGGCTGTAGAACTGAAAGGTTCGTGATGTCTGATTGTGCTGGGGAGAGCACGAGATCCAGGATTTGCGGCGTCTGATCTGGGGGAATACGATGTTGTGTAGTGACGTGTTGGAGCAAATTACAATGAAGAATGGTCTCCAGTAAGTTGGCCTCGAAGAACTCGGTAGGTCGGTCACAAAGAAGCAGGTGGCAGTCAGTAGAAGGAGCATTGAAATCCCCAAAAGTTATGACAATCCGTTCGTGCACCATGCTTCCTGATCGAGTCCATCAAGCAGTCGCCCGATCCTGAAGGCGCTCTGTAGACGACACCAAATGTGAGCGAACTCCGTCCATCATGAACACGACACCAGTGGGCATCAAACTCATCGCCTTTGTCACTGATCGCTTCAACTACGTGCACTTTGATATCGGTCTTCCAATAAACCATTACGCCACCGCCAGATCTCCCTCCTTTCGATCGGATCAGGAGAGGTGGTAACCGGGGATAGACACCTCTGTATCCGTGATATCGGTGAATAGCCAGGTTTCAGTGAAAACCATCAGGTCTGGACGGGTCTATAAGGCAATCGACTAAATCTCATTCAATTTATTCCTTAGACTGTGCACATTGGCGGTTAACACGCATAGTCCATTTGTGTGCTTTCGTGTCCCGGGAGGAGGAGAATGAGTCTCCAATAGGTTCTCAGAGTCTTCTGTACCAAGTAAAAATCCACAATATGAAGGTCAGTTTCACCATTTCCCCGTCGTATTCGCAGCTCCTTAACAGCCTTTTCACTTTTATCCGATCCTCTGGAGAAAGTTAACGTAGTACGTAATTTGTCTCAAATTTGAGACACGAGGTCCGTCGCAGAATACGTCGGCATTCCTCTTCCGTCTGACACACGAATTTGAGGTGGCGAACTTTGGGTGGATCCTCTTACTTCTTGCCGAGCCGGGATGCAGAGACGATGTTAATTTCCTGTTTCCCTTCATCAAATAGCATAGATCTCAAGCGCTCGAGAAGTATTTGGTCATCCAGAATACTTTCCACCGGGGTGGCTTTGTTCGATTCGACTGCTTTCATAATGATGAGGTAACGCTCCCGAAAAGGTGGAGTGCGCTCAGGGATTTACGGTCTGCGAGAGGACGGATTTACTTTGATCACTTTCTGTAGCTCAGAATGTCTATTGAGAACTAGCTTCCTTTGCGACTGAGATGCTGAGAGTTTAGAATTGGGTTTATTCCCGGATTTGGGATTAAACTTAGCGGCATTGGTGGCTGGGCTTTGATTGATTAGGGTTGCGTTCACATTTCCCTTCACTAGGGAAGAGTTATCCCACGTGTTGGATTTCGCCTTGGGCCAAGAGACCAGCTTTGGTGGGGGCATGCTTTCAGCTGGGCACAGGCTGGTTGTTGTTGGAGCGGTGGCGCTCGCCATGGCAGCATACGTCTTGGGCTTATTTTCCAGTCGACACGTCATCTTACTGGAAGGTGATGACTCGGCCGACGTAGCGGAGAGAGTGCGGTTACGGTGTGGTTTGGGTGTAGCAGACCCCGATGCACGTAGGGAAATGGACGATGCGGGTGACTCATCTTCCGTATTGTACATTGCCAGGGTGACAGGGCTGCATATACTCAAAGGACGATGGTTAGCCAGAAGACGTTTGTCATTCACTATTACTCGAAATGATTCACAATAGGAGCTCACGACCTCAGAGGCAGTGCGTTGAAGGCATTCATATAGGGCGTCATCTATGTTACAACACGAACGTTGCAGCTACCCTTCGCACAGTGCGCATTGGACACCTTTTGAGCTGTAGGTGACGAGTTTGCTACACCCTATGCACTTGGATGACATAGTGGTTTATCCTATTGATACAGAAATCTGAAAAGCGCGAGCGAAAACCTCGACGGGGATCTTTATCCGTGATGATGGAAATCAAACGACGTTGCAGTTGTCCCAATGGAAGTGGAAAGTGTCTCCTCGTCCAAAATGCGCACTTGAGTCCGTCCAAGACCCACACGGTGATTGTATTTCCGATTGAAAATGCATTACGCATCAGACATTTTTGTCACAGTTAGATGATAAGAATACGTTTATTAGGGTATTCTATTGCATTGGAAGAATGCTGTGTGCAGGGTAGGATCTGAAATTTGAATGTTGTATTATGACAATGCAAAAATCACGTTTCGCGTTTGTCCGCATCTACCAGGCAGAACATAAACACCCATTGTGACTATCCCACTTTTCTCGGGGCTCAGCACCAACAGACCTTCTTTCGGTTTCCCATGCGTAAAGCTTAGTTGGGATGATTAATTAATTGGTATATTCCAAACTATGTGAGGCACGGCCCAGTTAAGCTGTTCCGAGCACGAGGTAAAAAGGGAATGCAGAATGGTTTTACGAAATTGCTGTGCAGAAACACTTATGATTCCAATTCCATTGATTCTTATGCTATTGATTTCGTTTCAAAATTCTTCGAAATACACGGCTATCGCAAGTTGTTCGGATACGTTAAAGCGGATGTTTGGTCAACCAAATCGAAATAACAACTTTTTAGTGTTGAGTGACAATACGCACATGGAACATTTAATTTATAATTCACAACCCTGGTATATAACAATAATTGATAAATAGTGGCGGTATGTGAGCAGACATGACAACACGACAAACGGCAAAACTGAGAACTGTCTCCATTATGAAACAAGTGTAATGAACGAAGTACCTCACACAAGTGGTAAGATGTGATAACGCAGGTCAAATGGATTCGCGTATGTTAATTGGGTGTGTTAGTGCAGTCCCTCAACAGTTCACCATTTTATTATGTCCATGTCTTGCAAGCACGCATGCCTTTCATCTAGCTGTGTAATAGATAGGAAACACAATATATGGAGACTAAGGAAAAAGCTTGCTTATCCAACTCACTAATGTGCGCATGTATTTCTATTCCCATCAGTGTGTTTGCAAGCAAAGTAAGAGCACAATAAGAAGCAGTGTAGATGAAGAAAATATCGAAAATCAATCCCATCTGTCCAACTCACCTATGTGCCCATATTTTCATAGGTCACCAACGGACCATCCATGTGACTAGCACGAATAATATAACAGTATAGACTGGGGAAAATCAGATAGGTCTCATTTATCCAACCGAACCATGTACCTATGTTTGCATAGGCCACCGGTAGGTCATCAGTTGAAGTAATATCGATTAATGTGACAAAGTAGGATGAAGGAATGTGAGAAAATGGTGTTAACTAGCAAGCAAAGCTCGTGTTAATGGAACACAGTGTTTCATGTTGTATCGACAAGCGCTTCACGCCATATTTACGTGTACTTTTATATTGCGAATTCTGCAACTACTTAGATGTTAGTCGGTCCGTTCTCCTATACCCATTCTTTTGTGTAACTGACACGGAGGAGTCGCTCGGTGTTGCCTGGAATTTGTTTGTCCCCCAATTCACTGTGGTAAGGACAAATGCGTTATAAGCAAGGTCTTTCGCCCGAAGCAAGTGAACCCTTCCTTTAGGAGCCGTGTTTTTAAATGCATGGGCTTAAGGGATTCATCCTAGCAAGCTTGCGATGTCGATCCAAGTAACCTGAAATGGGGCGCTTATACAATTTAACAAAACCGCTGTGTCAAGTTGATCCGCGAAGATAAAATCCAGCATCAACAGAACTTAGCGGCGAAATTCAGCACAAATCCCAAAATGCTGGATAATCACTTCAACAAACTCCACAGTGTGCTGAGCGGGATCCCAGTTTTAGGTGCAACAGATGGTTTAGTGCACGTTACAAAAGCTGCGGCCAACACTTCATCCACACTTTCCAAAGTGAATCATCATTTCACCCGCTTTCGACACAGCTCCCCTCACCACCGGTATTAAAGCGTGTAAGTTTTGAATCATCCAAAGTGATGTACTGGATAATGTCTTTACGTATGCATAGAGAACCTGGCGTGGAAGATAACCAACCAAAGACATTGAACACAGAGGCCATGAACCTTGGAGAACGTTAGATCGGTACTTTCAACATTGTCTAGACGAAATGCAGGTTCCCACAATGTTTAAACATGGAACAGCCACTTACATTTATAAAATTGTTGATCGTTCGACGCCCTCGAACTACCGTCTGCAGATGATATCTATTGGATACGCAGAATAAATTTCAAGGTGTATACTGGTAGGACAATTGAATCATCGTCATATCTTTTGACAAGCGTTTACGCACAGAAGCTGCTTAAATAGTTACTTGATTTCGAAATCATCGACATCAATGGCGCAGCATATGACATTGAGCTGGTTTTGTGGAAATGATAATTGATAATGTACAAATGCAATAAAGAGGATATCCGAATGAATTTAAGCAATACTCTTCTGAATTGCTACAGATGACACCTCTTATCATGACATGCATAATTGTACTCTCGTTATGGAAAGAAATACAAGGAGGTCAAATAGAGTTGTAGTAAATCCTCATTGCGGATATCTTGTTTGTTGGTGGGATATGGCTTGAAAAACCGTTACTGCATTTCTCTCTTTTTCTTCGTTTGCCTTCAGCTACTACAACCAGCGCTAATGTGACCACAAAGCCAACTACTCTCGTGCCTACAACAACTACGGAGTCTTCACGTGAGCACAAACAATACTGATTGAAAAAGCACATTTAACTGTTGCTTCGGCACGCACCTTTGACTTTATTACACCTACTCCCTATCATTAACCACAAAACACAACCATGAACTCTCCGGCATTCTAGTGTGATCAGCGCTGTACCATTTGGATAGTGTTTAGTCGCTCTTATTAACGTATTTGTTACGACGTGATCGTAAGTATGACGAGTACATTAACGCAAGGACGATGACCTACCTTCCTGCGTGGTCACACTGATGTTTCAATACCATGATTCATCACAGATTAACATAGCTGAGCAACCCACCCCACATCTCGGAGACCACTGCATGGCGGCTTCGCTCCATGGACTCTCTCGTCTTCCGCAAACGATGACCTCTATTCTAACGGATGCGAACATTAAGCAATGTAGCATTTAGAGCATGAATGTTTACATCTGAAACGGGAATGAAGTCACGAGCATTTGCATTTAAGTACAGTAGGTACAGCTTCTATCGATAAATCGATCCCTAACTTGTACAACTGAACTCAAACTCGCACGTTGGCTTAAGAAGTAGCTTTCGGCTACGAAATATTTAAAGCACGCGTAGTTAAGGACGACCAAGGTCGGAGCATTATTTCAGACCTTTGCGGCTAATAAATTCTTAGTATGCAGTTCCGATAATTCAAGGAAGAGGTATATTGCGTCCTAATTACCATAAGTTGGAAACTAATAAAATTCATTTGCGTTATAAGGGCTGTTTAGATGCACTAAACTGTAGTCAATGTCCTTGAAAGTTCATAGTCACTCCCCTACTTCCATTTATCATGCAATTCCCAGAAGAATTACGTCATGTTTGATGGTGCTTTGGTGTCCAGCTAAGAATGCTGCGCATGCTGCTTCCAGGTCCGTGCATAGACTTGTATTCCCATGTTAATTGGGTGCATCCATCTCTATGCTTTATCTACAAGTTCATGAATGACTTGTTTAACAGTGTCTTTGGAAGTACCAGCATAACTTTAAAGAGACTGGCACGACTGACTGCAACATTTCACTGCATCGTGGATTTATAAACCTGCTTTTGAAACTAACGAATTTATATTCGAAGTGTTTTGTCAACAAATAGTCGTTAATGAGATGAATATCGTCTGGTCTGGTTATATTTCATCAAATGGCAAATTTCTATGGTAATTTGAAGCTAAATACTAACAGATCTTATGGTTTTCGCTTTATGTTGCAGGCAAACTCCATGTGAGTCTAATCGGAGTAAGCCTGGTGGTCATGTGTACAGCGAGCCTAGCGCTCATATGGTAATTGTACGGATACAATTCAAGCAAACAATTGTTGCACCAGCTTCTAACGGTGGCTGGCAAGAACGTGTTTGTAAACCAGCAGTCCTTGTATTCGCCTTTATGTCTATTCACGCTCTCATGCTGTGTGCTTTTGCACATTCGTCTACCTACTGGTAGATTGAATTTGTCTTCATTCACGCTTTTGAATGTGCTCAATTATATTAGTTTACACAAAGGCTACGGTTATTGATTTACGGAAGGGTATACACGTCTAAATTGCACTCACTCAGATAACAGTGTTTCCGTGCGGTTCTCACGTTGTGTGTAAAGGTAGCTAAAGGTAATGCCAATTCGGGCGATTACAGATGTAACTGCACTGTAGTGTAATGGAATGTAGGCACACAAAGCGACAAGAGGAGTAGTTATTGATCACGTAATAAGTGAGAAACATTAACAGATAGCAAGGACAATGCTTACTCGTGTGCAGCTACCTCGGGTCGACGGGATACAGAATTCCAGTTTTTACAGTAGTAGCGTTTATGAAATTGTGTGCAAGGGTTTGGAGCGAATGATTCTCGAGTAGGGTTATGGCACCGTCCACTGTCCGTTGTGCATTTGTGCCAGTATCCGGGTGGTCATGGGTTATAGCACGTAGTGTAGATGTGACAGAGTACCGTCAAGGCGAATTTGAAAAGCGATAGCTTGAGTGCATTAATAACATATTCTTAGATGGCTTTCCAAGGCTGTAACACTCGAAGGGAGAAAATGTTTCGCCGACATTCCAGGCGGCTGTACTGCGTGACCACCTTGAACTGGTGACTTCTAAGTGGGGTGTTTTGTCTGAGTATCAGAAGGGAAGGGCATGGGTGGTTGGGGTTTCTCAGCATCAGGTACACCATTATGAGATCGCCCCTTAGACGCCGATAACGCCCACTGTATAATTTGAGATTCTTCTGCCAGAGTGGGTAGGGGAGGTTGGTCAAACCTCTGACGCTCTTCGTTACCCTACGTTGTGCATTAGCGAGCGCGGTGAGATGGTGCTTGAGCCAGGCTTGCCACGCTTACTTGGCGTATTCCGCGTGCGGCCTCACGTAGGCACTAAGCATTTTTGGAAAGACTGAAGGAGCAAAATTCCCGAAAGCTCTGCGAAGAAGGCCAAGGTACTGCTTTGCTTTCCTAGCTGCCTTTTCAGTCTGCTGCAAACAACCGAGGTAATTTTGAACTAGCACGCCGAGATCACACTCATGAGAAGCCCGCTGTAGAATATGTGGTCCTAGACAGTATTTGTAAATACTCTTGTGCCGTATGCTGAGAACTCTGTACTTGGTGAAGTTGAAATGCAGAATGTTCTCGATGGACAAGGTGTACACTTTGTCCAGGTCCTCCTGTACCACTGGGATCCTCCACTGCAGCTATAGTACGCCATACCTTTAGATCATCAGAAAATAGCAAACAGTTAGAAAGTAGCATGCTTGCGAGATCATTTATGAAAACCAGGAACAGGCGTGGTCCAAATACCGAGCCATTAGGTAAGCCAAATTTAACTTCTATTGATTCCGATAGGTTGCTTCCAACCCTCACATTCAGGTGATGTTGCGCGAGAAAGCCTTCTATGCAGCCCAGAGCGGGACTGCCGATTCCATATTCATGGCGTTTGTAGAGTAGAATGCGATGGTCTAGACGGTCGAATGCCTTTGATAACTCCAAATAGGCCGCGTCGACTCCTACACCAACATCCACAGATTCCGCCCAGTTTGCACAGGCAATCAACAGATTAGCGGTACAGGACCGATTTTGGCGAAATCCGTGCTGCACCGGAACGAGAATTTTGTCGTTTTCCAGCTTCCCCATCAATGCTTCATCTACCATGGACTCCAAAATCTTGGAGATCACAGGAAGTAGTGTTAGTATGCGATAATTTGTTGGTTCAGCACGGCTGCCACTTTTGTAGATTGGCTTGATGATTCCGTGCTTCCACATCGTGGGGACGTGCATCGCGTTCATACATCATTGTAAGAAACTTGCTATTGGCGCAGCAAAACGCATGGCAGCAACTTCCAAGGCCTTCGGGCGAATGACGTCCGCAACTGAGGAGTTGAACTCGCGCAGAGACATCAACCATTTCAGTAGAGCTGCGGAGGTAAACGATATATGATTAAGCCCTGATGGTGACATTATCTGCTTAGGCAGGATGTATGATGATTACACGCTTTGGTAGGTACGGCCAGATGGTTGTCCAATAAAGTTGGTCGCCTGTTGTGTGGTTTGGGCTAATCCGCCTGCTGTGTGCAGGGCAGGAATACCGCGCTTAACACGGCGCAACTTGTTTACGTGTCTGTGTAGAAGTTTGGGATTAGAGCAAATCTTTTCCACTGGAACTAGTTGGTTCTTCAGTTTATACGCCCGGACGAGTTTGACACACTGCTTCCACTGTATTTTGTAGATATCCCAGGTATTTTCGTTCGAGGAGGCTATGTAGGTGTGCCATGCCAAGTTTCCTAATGCCATGCATTTACGTGTCCTGTTCTTTACCAAAGACTTCATCATTTTTGGCCGATAGAGTTTGGTTTCAGATGTCCTTGCCACGAGCTTGTTAAATATGTTGACGAATTCTCCGCATGCCACCTTAGGGGTTAATTCGGCTAAGAGCGACCAGTTTATTGCATCAATGAGGTCGGACAGGTCGTCATAGTTGGTTACGACATGATATACCTCGGCATGTTATTTAGGATAATCCGCGTAGCATATGTAATGAAACGCTAGCGTCGCATGATGGCTGCGGCCCAGAGGAGTATCGGTTATCATTCTCTCAACCATCAGTTCTGCATTAGTGAAAATTCTGTCCAATATGGATGACCTGTTAGTTGCCCTGAATCTGGCGAGCTTAGTGACGTGGCTATAATGCGGGAAGTCTGAAACCAGATGTTGCAAGTCTGCTTCGAATTGCTCTCCTGGTGTGGCATGTGATTCTAGAGCGTGTAAGCTGAAGTCGCCGGTGACTAGAAGGTGACCGTACTTCCTGTGTACCATTTGCCTCAATGCAGCCACCAAGTTGCAGTCCATCTCAGGGGTAGACAATGGCTTGCGGCAAACAACAACCAATAGGCCAAGATCGTTCCCTCTCAGCCGGAAAGTACACCAAATGGAGTCAGGTACGTCGGTTTCTGTATCTTTTATGGGTTCGCATTACAGGTTGTTACGAAAGCAGAGGGCTACCCCATCACCTTTGCTGGATCGATCCTTCCGGACAACGGACATGCCCGTTAGCTCGATTTCGGCATCCGTTTTCTCACAGCGTACCCACGTTTCGGTGACAGCGATGAGGTCCCAAGGTGCTGACGCGTGTCGAAGTTTTAATTCGGCTAATTTTCTGAGTAGACCTTGTGCATTTGTGTACATGCATGAGAGCTTCTTGGTGACCAAAAGTGTGTTCGATTGGATGGATGAAGCAAGTGCAGTTACGCCGACCAATAACGGGCGACTAATCGTCTTTTGAATGGGTTGCAGACTCTCGAGACGATTTTGGTAAATAACCAGGTAACAGATGTCCCGGATCCTGCTGTTTGCTCGTGCTCTGCTGTGTCCCTCCGGATATTATGGCTACTGTTGTAACCGTCCCCGAGTCTGTTCCTGCAGTTGACGTTTTCATTGATTTGTGCCCCCGCTGAATTGTCATTAGAAGGTGCTGGCGTTCCCGCTGCTTTCAGACGAATTTCCGTTGACAATCTGCTACGGAATTTAGACCAGTACTCTACAAGGGTTTGTGCCGTTAGTTCTGATTGCAACACAAGTTTTAACAGCCTGGGACCGCACCGCTAATAGTTTGTTGATATGGGATCATTGTAAAGGAGGTGGCCACGACATTTTCGAGAGAAAGTGCCTCCCGGATGTAGTGCCATTGCTCGCTGTAGTGCATCTGAGCATCGTCGGGAGAGGAATCTATAAGCTCGTGAACAACTTGAGCAATCACTGTTTTCTTATCTTGAGTTTTTCTGTACCTCTCTCTGTTAGTGGGATCCGATGAACGTTCTTTCCACGGGATTTCAGGTAATATGCGGACTCCACTTGAGTCGTAGCGGAGACAATTCGCAGACAGCAGAACGGCCTCAGTCTCGTCCGCCGAGTTTAATGCTACACGAATTAACCGGAGTTCACCGTAGTGCAACGCGTTGGGGTGACCCGAGCTTCTTTTTAATGTCTTGGGATTAACATGGACACCGATCGACGTACAGATGGAACCCCATTGATTTCGATCGTCCGTCAACCTACCCTTAATTCTATTGAATTTGGATTCGGGGACATTTGTGCACACAAGGTTTAAGGCACCATGGTTGCGTCTGATGCCTACTGGTTTTGGAGTGGGAGTCTTATTATCCGTTGTTCCTGGTGCATTTGTGAACGGCACTGATGGGGACCATCCGTGCTGAGACGATATACTTTTCTCCAGTCCGGGCACAAAGGTTACCGGTGCTCTTTCCGGTGTTGGCTTGGCGGCCACAACTTAATAGTCCCAGAGCAAGATGGTTTTATCAAAAGCGATCACGCAATACTAATTTAATAATTACACGTAATAACTTGACTGAAACTGTTGACGATAGATTGGGCGTCGATGTCATCTACCTGGACTTCTCAAAAGCATTTGATTTCTTAGACCATCGAATTCTTCTTCAGAAGCTTTGGAACTAACCAATTGGTGACTAAATACTGAGTTGGATTAGCAATTTTCTACACGAACAACGGCTAGAGTTGAGAGTCCGAGAATCATTGTCCGATGCAATCGATGTGTTGTATGGTGTACCATAAGGCTCGGTGCTTGGACCTCGTTTATTCTTGATGCTCAATAACGATTTGGCGAGATCAATTGCATCAGATCTCCTGTTCTTAACTGATGATATCAAGATACTTCGAAGGATAAGTGGACTAGAGGACTAGTAACAACTCCAGTGCGACCTCACCATGGTGTCGAACTGGTCAGTTCAAAAAGCCCTGCCATACAATCTAGACAAATGTCGCGTTGTGCAATTACACCATAAACATAACTACACCTATTTGCTTAGGACAACCGGATTGCAGACCAGCTCCCATAAATGTGACCTCGGAGTGTTTGTACAGAGAGACCTCAACTGTTCAAAACAGGCTGAGCTAGCTGCGAAAGGAAACAACCAGCACGTCGGCATACTGCGAAGTGCATTCGGGAGATTCGACCATCCAACTTCCTGATAATGCACAATTCCTGCTTACGCCCGCATCTTGAATACGTTATCCCAGCTTGGCCACCTTGGTTGAAGCGCGACCTAGAAGTGACAGAGGCACCACAACGAAAAGCAACAAAGAATGTACTGGACCTGCGCTATCACTCTTACCACCGAAGGCTGAAGTTGCATGAAATTTTCAGCGGACGCTATCGAAGGCTGTCCCGCGATCTCATATTATCGTATCAGATGTTGTGTGGCCCCAATCACGTATGCTGCCACTTGTTGCAACTAAGCCACAACCAGCAGCTCAGAGGCAACTGCTTAAATTTAAAGGAACAAATTAGCCGTCTAGAGTGTCGACGTAATAATTTTCCCTTCCGGTTTGCCAACCCTAGAATGCACTCCCAGACTCAGTCGTATGCTCCCCTACCTTAGACGTTTTAGCAAAATTTTTGCATGTTGCTCTTAGCTCCCAGCACTTTGTTACCTAAACTCATCTGTTGTGGAGTACGCCAAGCATACTTTTCTACAGGACACATGCATCCAATGGACCCAAATAGGAGACCATATTTTACTTTCTTCACGCCTTATATCCCTGACTACTGCAAGTCATGACATTTCCGAAAGTTTCTGCTCGACTTTTTAATTTTACACTGCTGTTATTTATCAACGTATTCACCGCGGTATACGTTTGGTAGATGACCCTCATATGTTTTGCTTTCATCGTATTCACCCCAACCATCCTACGGGACTTGGTAAGCACTTGCTTTTATCTCTTGAGAAATCATTGTTTATTGTTCAAACCTGAAGAAGCAATTCTACACAAGTCCATAAATTCGAGTGTGTATCATGCGAAGTGTATTCAGGTACACAGCATTCCTCCCAGCAAGAAAAGATCTGTACTAACGGCAGAGTAAATGGATGTTTATTTGTTCTTGCCAATCAAGTGGGATCGCTTAGCAAATCGTATCAGGCGCACCTACGCGGCCGCCCAGTTGCGAATCATGCATACCACGCGAGAACTTGTTCTTCATAACCGTCGAAGCATCCCATCGTGTATTTGGCCCTCTCTTGTTATTTATCAACTCACCTGCAGGTTGATGAGGGTTACATAGACGGTACTGACCGTCAGTTAGCTCAGAGGGCAGCTTAACATTTAATAAAGTGTTTGGGACAACTGATGACGCAAGTAAACAGGACGGAGCCAAAGCTTAAGCGGAACCTGGCAATGTCTATCACCAAGCGCCTCATGGCAACTCGTCATCACGTGAACCCTGAAGCTGCGTTAAGAGTGTTTTAGTACAAAAAACGAAAATGTCGGCACTTACTGAGGCATTAATAATTAAGGCTTATCAACTTATGCTATGTGCACAGAAACTCCTGAGACAAGCAATTCGGTTGTCTTAGTTCTGACTTTGACGTTATGTTTGGTGCTGTTCATATTTACCGTGTGTATTATCGTTTGCGTATTTCTGCTCAAATTGTGACTGCGGCTAACATGTATCGCAACCGATGTCCTCACCCGGCCTTGATGAAATTTGTCCCTTACTCAGATACCCCGTAGTCATGATGAAGGACACCGCTGTCGGCGATCCCAGGAAGGATGTGATGGAGTCGTCGACGAAGTTGTTGGATTAATTCGATGTAGAAATGTTCATTTACACTTTGTCGAGGAAGAAAATCCAGTATTCACGACGCCGTTGAATCATGGAACACATAGTTTTATGTTTGATTTGCCCATGTGAGATTTATTTGAATAAGGTGACCCTTTCCGCTGCCATTCGGAACTTTAGATTTTGGACTCTTGATCGTACTCAAATATCCAGCATCCTTCTCCAGTGATCACCCTCCACAGAAGGTTTCGCTGTGCTGCCACACGCCATAATAATGCCTGTGAAATGGTCAATTGGTAAGTTCTGGTGCCGCAACGATCCGATACGCTCATCTTCTAGGAAAGAGTGGAATTACACTGTATCATCCGCATCATAATCCCCAAGTATTCCACCCTATTCATCGCTGGCTTTCACCACTGCGAAAATAAAGACTCATCGGAGAACCACTAAGAAATAATGTAAATGGTATACACCACGCCTCATGCTGACGTTGATGTGGCATTCATGACGCAAATTCAACGCATTTTGACTAAAGAATTTTACACTTAATCTAAGTCCGTTTAGCTGGATAAAAGCTATTCCTCTTTATGTGGTTTGTCCAATTCTGTTATTCTGCTGCATATTCCGTGTCCGTTGTGCATGTTGGATTTCCTTTAAATTCGATGTTGTTTGACTGCTCAAGGCGGTTTGACGGCGCTTCATGTGAATGTTGACAGTATGCCCAGCTGTCTAACACCCTCCATTTCGATTACTGGATCCAGGAGACTGTGAAACTTTGCTGGTGCGAACAGTGTGCATGGTTTTCATAGCCGTGCTAGGCTCAAATAGTGGTTCCATCCGGTGTGGATCGGACTACGTTCCAGACTCCACTTTGTGTAAGTCTGGTACGTATGATTCCCTACACAGATAGACAGGAATGCTGCTGCTGTACATGTTGCATGAGTGTGGGCCGGTTCCATTGATGTAAAACGGCTCCTTTCCACTTGCCTCCCTATCTTATTCCTGCGGGCTCACACCGGACATGGGGGTTATGGTTGGAGCTGTGCGTGTGCAGCGATGCCATCGATGGTCATTGTGTAGTCGCAAACGTTCTGTGGCTGTCCTACAGGGGCCACATTGACAGGCAACTCAGGAACCGGATGTTGCTAACTATGGATTTAACTTTAGTGGCTTACTAAAATTATCGAGACTATAATGTGCAATTTACGATAATTGAACTTTCCTAGTAATTTCGCTTCACCTGTGTGAATCTGGAACGTCGCATTGATATGCGGGGTACCGGTTAATCACGGAATTCGCTCATTTAAGCTAGTTGTAATGGTATAATAATCTAAAGTCTCCGTACTCTGTAGAAGAAAACAACTACAAAATGCAAACATCATCAAGTTCAAACGACATCGAAATGACAAATGGTAATTTCAACCCCAGGGAAACCATGTATTTCTGGAGCAACCACCCGGGTATATTTTCTTAGCGACGTTCCTGTTTCACTTAACCGTGAGCGGCGTTTGCTAATTTTTCAGGAGGTACAAGTCACACTGGTGGCTTTCGAACATTAGTGCACAACGTTGTTAGTAACCTTGCCTATTGACCATCTCAGTGTGGGCGATGAACGTATACGCGTGGCAGAAGTTCAGATTTTCACATATTTGGTATGTTTTGTGCATACTTGAGTGGTTCACCTGATCTTACCTGTTTGAAAATGACTACTCTGTCAAGTTTGAACTCAACGCATTCCAGTGAGTTTATGCACAGAGTTGTTGTCCACGTGCTTACATTTACCAACCTAAACAACCTGCCCCGCAAGCATAGTAAGGTTATTGTGCAACCAACGGTTAACACTTCAACTATTCTCAGGCAGCCTCAGGCAAGACCGTGGTACAGATACATAAACAAGTGTGCACAACCTTCAGGGAACAAGTGGTCCAACTTTTAAGTGGTAGGTTAACATAATGGTGAAAATACCAACGGTTCTTCTTATTGTGGTCCTTTCAAGCGTACAGTTGGAATTCAGCCACAGTCTGGGTGAGTTCGAGTGAATTGTCAGCTTATTTGGTAAAACCTTCGATCATACCATTCAAATTTATAGGAAACGAGCTATTCGGAATAATACCAATAAGATGTGTAGAATACGGATGCGTTAAACGCGTTTCGTTGTCCCAAAATAACAGTTGTTCATAGTACGTGTTCCGCCACGTCTTGTAAACAGTTTTCCATGCCATCACCAGTACAGTAAAACAAGTTCAACATATCTGACGAATAATGAAATTTAACCTGAAGTTACCATGGATGTCGTCTGGATGGAGGAAAATAAATTGCTATAGAGCATATCCATTCGAATTTATTTAACAGCTGTTGGTGTTCACGACATGATGCCGTGCAACAGACGCGGAACGAAGTAGCCTAGCTCATTTGTTCCGACATCAAATATTGGCGATTTGAGTTTTAGTGTAATGAGTAAACATTTGCCCAGCTTCCATTCGGAGCACTCATTTACCTCGTTGGCGTACGGGTGGTTGATGGCCGCTCGTGGCGGTGTGGACGCTACGTAGCCATCTGTCTTTTGTGATGGAAGGAGGGTGGGAACTGTGAGCTTAGACCAGTCCTTTCCACTCTCCAGTACAAAGACCTTAATGAATAATGGAATTACTGTATTCGTGATAGCACATCTGTTAGGTCTAAAAGACGGTGTCTTATCAGAGCAGGAATGGCTCGTTGGTGGCTCCGCATCCACATTCTGACATTTTTCGGTAGGGACGTAACTCACGGTCCCTGCATGTACCTAGACAAGCGGAGTGCAGCCTCGTCCCACGTAGACAAAATATTCAGTGGGGAAGACCAGTTTAAACAGCAAATCGCAACATACACATCAGCGATAGTTTACTGTCGTCTAGTCAGGAATGTTACTTCGAGTGGTTGTAAACTTGACCAAATTAAAATTCGAAGTGCGCTCCACTGTATGCAGTGGGCTACGTATTAATACTTAAAGACGACACATCTGATATGAAGTATATCAAATACGAAATCGATGGCTTGGCAGCGGTGCTTGTTCGTGGAAGGATAGAAGATCGATTCGTGTTGGACGCTTCTCAATCAGTATCAAACAAAACGCTACGCTGAAGACAAAGATGCGGTGGAAAAACTCCACCGTGTAGACCGGATTTCACTCAGAAGAAATTGTGCTAAATTTTTCACCTATATTTTAAAAGGACCACCTAATCACCTATTGCTTGGCTCTTCTGACCAGTAAAATGTGTACTACCTATCATCCTCGTTGCTTGTCAATCTCTCATGCATTCCGGTGGACAATGCCTAAAGGTAACAAACTGTGGTCATATGGATTGTTGAAAACAGCATTGCGATTAGGCGAATTCGACGGGGTTTCGATGAATTACATGTGCTCCTGAATTACGAAATGGCCTTCACTTTCTCTATAAGTCCAGCACTTTGAGTTCCGTCATGAAAGGCAATTACCAACCTAATAGGGCAACCTACACGGTCGGTTGCATAGAATGGAGAACAAGCTGTTGGAAAACCTTAGTCCCATTAGTGAGCATTAGACACTGTACCGCAGACAGCTACGATAACAAATGCCATCAACTACATTTGGATTCACTCTGGATTCAGTGACTTTTAAATCTAGTTGTGCCCTACTATGACATTGTAAATACTTAAGTATACATGGGTATAAAAGCGCTATAAAGGAAACCTTCCTATATGTCATCCTTCCACGACGAGTGGAAACTCCGCACACATGGCGATAGTATGGGTTGTCAAAAATGTTGCGTGAGGAGTACGTCGATGGATGTGGAGCACCATAACTGAGAATATGTTCGTTCGTTTCCCTCACACTTGTACATGTTTTGGCTAACCTGCTCAGTAAAAGTTTCTCTCTCCGTTCTTACTCGCATATAGTGTTGGCAGAGCCGTCTGACGAAATAAAGAAGCTCATCAGAGAAAAGGTAGAAGAAACACTAAAATGTGAGTGCATTGTGTTTTCATTTGCACGTTGAAATCAAATCGCATTCTGTGAAATTGTGGTTGATAAAGCTCTCAAGCACTTTGGTCCCTATTTCATGCATACGTCACGACGCTTCACACCAACTAACGTAGATATGGTTGGAGGTGACTTTGAAGCGATGGCGTCCACGATTTCTAGTGGTTGTATTGAATACCTCTCACATGATTACAAAACTACAGCTCCCTATTGAGTAGTTTCTCTACTCTTACCTGTAGCACTGAGCAAGGATATGGCCAATGTACACTCCAGCAATCCGTGACAATGAACACGTGATATTGGGATGCGGACACTTTGCTTCGCTATTTCAATTACACTGAGGAGGATATTAAATTCAACTATTCAAAGCACATATGGTGAAGGGTAAGATGAATAGAGCGCCAGATTCCTTGCTCCACACCAGTTTGGCAAAAGCTAAACTGAAAAGGCCTTTCAGATGCTGACTTGGCAGGCTTCGTCACCATCAAGTTAAATTAAGTAACACTTACACATTTTGGAATGATACGCAACGTATTACCTTTGTTCCATTTGGTTCGGGCAGCGGTACGCATACCGCATACTACTCTTTGTGTTGAACCACGACTTGCATGCGTGCCAGAGTCAGTAAGAGATGCAACCAAGCGATATTTGACGGCACTGGATTGTCATGATTGCTTACTGGTTACAATTCTGCACTGTCATGCAAATTGTAAGCGCGCATTGGTCGTGGTTATTTTCCACCGGCCGTCACTGACGTAGTGGGAATAACGGAAACCTTGATGCAAACAGATCGAACTCCCCCTTGAAGTGTATTCAGTTGTGTACGGTTACCAACAGCATGAGTATTTTGACTAGCTGCTGGCGCATACCAAAAGTGAGACGGACAACCGTGCAAACATGGATTCATAGGGGTTAAAAAGCGCTGTTTTACAAGTCCCGTTGGATAGTTGTTAGGCATTTTAATATGCTAACGTTAATAATAATAAAAATGCAGTGGAAGTATTATGAAAGCAAGGACTTGTCATCTGTCACGCTTTAGTTCTGCAGTCCACCTATATTCACAGCACCCTCATTTAAAATCAGTTGCCGGTTAGGAGAGTGTCGTCGACAAGTCAAAATCCATCTGGATTGTTTGCACCGTTTTGACTATTATCGTAAGTAGTGTGCAAATGTGTCCCAACAACCGGTGCGAGAGATAAACAGCTATATAAGGCACTTTGGTGCTGTACTGCGTGCTCCACCATCACACTGGTTAATCGCTTGCTTTTCCTAGCTCAGAATTACGACCGGCTAACCGCGGTACCCCAGCAGACGATAAACGATATAACTACTTCAATGGAAGCGATTATGTACCACGGATGCGTAGCGGCTGCTAAGCAACGGAATGCTGCACCGTACGCATCCGTAAACCGTAATCAGCCACGCATTTTTGGTAGAAATCCGGACGAAAACAGAGAGCAAATAAGAGAGTCATCCGTACTCACTGCAACGAAATTCAAACACTACACGAAAAGTCTGGTTAAGCAAATTTCACTAGACCTGACATCTAGTACTAACAATGATGAAGCAGCCGAACGCTCGTTTTCGGTGACTGTAGCACAACTCACCATTTTCGTGACAATGCCCCCAAATATATCAGGTACTTATGCAAAGTTGGCTGCAAAGGTCCACCGGGTGGCCACCATTGCGGCCACATCTGTTGTATACACCGATAACTCGAACAGAGGGACAAAGAGCATACAATCCGCACTTGTCAGCGGGGCAGGACAAACGAGTATCATGACTTGTAAATCAACGAAAAAAATATCCAATGATAGTGTTTGGGCTGCTGTGTGCTCAAATGTTCTTGAACCTACTGCCATTACATTTCTGTTTAACGTGCCGGACTACTAAGACCAAGGGAACGCCTTGGGCCTGCAGATCAATGACAAAGCCAATGCCATAAAATTATTAAAAATTAATCGTCATATGAATTCACCAAACTATGGAGAACCCAGACTTATTCGACTAACATTAAAATCCTCCACCGACGTAGAAAAAATTTGCCCTCCGCAAGCACGCTAAAACACGGATCATGTGGCGTACGCATCTATACTGCTGTCCCTTGGAGTGCGCAACAAACAAAACGCAACCCTGAAGTGTGACACAGTAAGCAAGACTGCCTAAACCCAATCTTCATACATGGCGTGCCAGAACATCCTTCTAATGAGGTTTAAGAGACAGGTAAGCGAGGTTTAGAACAGTAGCGTTTCATTCGGGCAACACTTGCTTTGGATCATATTGTAGCGCTATCGTGCATCAGGATACCTCTCTCACCAAGTTATGCAGGATGCGGCCCTAGCATCCTAAAACTTGTGATTCAGTCAGAGCAGCAAGCAGAGGCTGTTTAGATGGATGGCATAGAAATCGGCAGCACCTTCGTTCTGAACTTCGGTTAAAGGTCGCAGCAGCTTTGCATAGATTAAATATTAATAAAGCTGAAGCAGTAAGCATGCCGACGAATGCACAAAATCATGACTTGTTGGCTGCTTCAATTGACTCTGATGTAGTTCTAACCAAATTTTGGGACGCACCTTGGCTGAATCAAGGTGCAAACAAGTCATAATATCTCATCAAAATACCGAGTATTTGTCGACCTCCCATCGATCAAAATTCTCCCACACCTGACCCCTAGGACCTTCTGTGGGCAATTAGCTACCGCGACACTGGCCTGCTTTAAACGGATGTTCGGGGGCCTTTTATTAAAGTGATCAAACTGAAAGATCGCCAAGCTTTCGGGTCATTTGAGGTCATTAGTAGCACCGAATCGTGGTTGCACACGGGATTTACGGACACTGAATTTTCGTTACCGGACATGTTGCTGACCTGGAACGACAGGTTCACAAAATGAGGAGGGGTAATCCTATACTACCGAAGCCAATGAAATTGCGAAGCCGTGGAAAGTTTAGAACCGCAGTTCCCCCACTTTTTTCGGTGCCTTTTATATAAGTTCGTCGCAGTTAGACACAGGCAGACAGCCACCACACATCCAGGAAAGCGCTAGACAGCCGTTTCGTCCTATTGGGACTCGTCAATAGCGCGCACCCGCAGAATCCTGCCGGATTCGAACCCACGACCATACTGTTGCGAGTCAGCGACTTATGTCACTGAGCCACGGGCGACGGCAGCGGACCGCCATGACTGAGATCTAACAGCGATATAGCGCGGCTCATCCTCTACTGCCTTGCATGTTGTGAATGTGCAGAGGACAGGGCTGGCCCCCAGAACAACGACTTCCTTTGCAAGCCGCCACCAATCTAAGTGGCATGTAAGCTGCTAAGGTGACTACTGATTATTTGTAAGTAGTAGGGGGATGTATTGGGTGCAGTTTGGTGCCGTTTGCAGTTAAAATGTAAGGTTGCTTGACTTATTGCCCTGGTTTACCGCCCCTAGCTCTGCACTCGAGAACGACTGACACCTAGCGCCTGCTTTAAGATGCAGTTTACAACGAAAGTACACTCGCATGCATTTCATGGGTGGTTTCACCGTAAATTGTGTAGAAATATCCACCATGACTGGAGAAAGATTCAAAGCTGATTTACAACATCTCACAACCATTGTTCCCGTTTACAATAACGTCACTTTGCCCGCTCGGTTCAGTACAGGTAACAGACCATCTGTGCTACGTATTGTGCTAAACAGCGAGGAGAACATGATAGATATGTTGGTTTTATACCGCCAGTTGGGTCGCATTGGTCACACAGTCCTCAGTTTCAAGTTCGTCTGTAATGCAGAATGTCGGAATGTGAAGGATGAGGCTGTGCGAGTCATCACAAGCAACGATCGACTAACCCAGCTCGTCAGCGTCACAACATGGTCGTTCCTTGCCGAAGCAACTTTGAACGTCGCCTGACTCGTGTTCGTAAACCATTTAAGTCAGCGGACTGCACAGGCATCGGGGATAAGAGTTTGCAAAATGCGTACATATATTGCATTCGTTAGCAGCAGAACTGGAATATGGCTGAGAGTAGGAAAAGCAGCATGGCGGGTGTACAGTAAAGCTCTAGCACCAGAATATTAGAACAAATACGCAGCCTTGCATAAGCACTACACACAACTTCTAAGAGAAGACAAAACCGCCTATCATTAGAACGTCAAGAAAGTCTTAAGTACTAACCACCAACTACTGTTCCAGTATGTCCATTGCCTACGAATGTGCGGCAAGGACTGCTTTCGGTCAGGACGGTTAATGATATAACAAAACGGTTGTGGTATTGGCAAACGCGCTGCCGCTGCCATATACATCCATGTTTCAGTGCGTAAGCACTAAGCGATACCACTGCGTTTGTCCTCTCCACGCTTGTAGTAAAGCACAGCAGTTTTACCGAGGTTTTTTTTACAAAACTGATGTCACTACACAAACACAGTTAGCCAAGCGTAGACACCATTCGTCCAGAGGCATTGGAAGCAGCAGTACGTCAACATACAGGACTTTGAGCTCAGCTTTGCTATCGCTGTTTAGACCAGAAACGGGTTTCCGCTATGTAAATGCTTGGAATAGTAAGCCCGTTTCACAAAAGTGGAGGTAGAGCTGAGCTCTCTAACTCCCGCCCAGTATGCTACTATTTTGTATACTCTCCACCGTCACTGACTCCGTAGTTTCCGATGCAGCGGTGTGTTACCTGGGAAATTGTAACCTCAACACGCCAGAATAAGACGGGTTTTTCCGACAGCCCTCATGCACAACGTATTTACAAATCGCACGCTTTATTTGGACTAAGGCAGCGGACGCTGGAGGAGGCGTTGGTGTTAGCTAAAACATTTTCAATGGATTTCGATTGTCTAAACCATCTGATACTGCACTCCATACTCTAGCATTGCGGAATCGGCCTTCCACTTTTGTGCTGGAATGCCAACTTGGTACTTCAACAGCAATAAGTGTTCGGTGTTAGGGTCCCTTTAGAGAATACCAGAAGATTGGAGGGTCGTATGCCGCAAGTCTCATTTCCAGGTTCATGTAGTTTTGGTGTTTGTTAG